ACCGCACAACTGTCAGTGCCCACACCATCACGAGTATAATGAAAAATAAGACATTGGTAGCCATGAATTAATGTAATCTACAGAACGCAAATTATTAAAACTCGTCATATCCGTATCTTTGTAAGGTTAAAATTAAGCGTTTAATTTAATGATTTTAATATAATGATGCATTTGTAAAAGTTTGGAATATATACTCGAATGTGGACACATACAAAAATGCGTGAGTACACAATAAATATGCAAAAAATCGTAGATTTCCGGAATACTTCCACGGTTTTGACTTTTACTGTTACTTGCTGTTGGCGCTTTCTGCCAACTTTATACAAAATCTTTAAAGTTAGTGTCCTGGACACATGTTAGAGACCATAGATTTACATATCGCTTTACTTTAATTTTTCACATTTTCACAGGGCCAATTTTGACACATAACGACTTATGTTCTTTAAAAATTTTCTCTCGAATTGATCAAGGTTTTGTAACAAGAAATAAGTCCTGAAATTTTTATGTAAGTCTTTGAGAAATTGCGTGCACAAAATTTCGAAGTTAAAAAAAGGAAGGTGAATGTTATAAATGAATAGAAAAATAAGTAAATAAAAAGGAAATAAATAAATAAATAAAAATAAATATATCAATCAATTAATAAAAGATAAATAGATATAGCATCTCCCATGGTTTGTGGTTGGATATGATTTTTATCCAAAGTGGTTTTTTGTTGTTATTTTTGTTGTTGTTTTGTTTTGTTTTTGTTTTTATTATTATAATTTGTTTTATTTTCATAATGTTTCTCAAAGTTGAGTATTTAGACAAAATTATGTATAGTTACGGGAACAGGAAAATGAATAAGAAAAATAAGAACGCTTTAAAAAGCTTTTCATGTCCCTTGCAACTCCTGTGTAAGCAGACATACATGTAAGTAGGGGTAAAAGGTGACGATAACTAACAGTGATCAATCTCATAAATCTAGTAAACAAAACAAATCGTGTACAAGTAAAAACAATGGACTCAGCTACTTTGAGGAAAGCCTGAGTTCACATGTAGAGTATCATTGTGACATCATTACAAATGTAATAAGAAATAAAATAAATTACGCACACATGATGATGCGTAAATAAAGGTTGCGTACAATTCTTCCCTATTATTCATATCATAGAATGCAAAGTCGTACCATTTGATAATAATACTACTGATTGTTAGGAAACAAACGTTGTGTCGTATTTCACGTAATTCCTCTTGACTTGACGCAATACAGTGATCAAGATCCATTGGTTTAATAGTTACAAAAATGCTTGATTAAATGCAAAATCGTCGTCGATCTTTAAATCTTATCAATAGCATTTCTAAAAAAACACGTGTTTATACAATTTATTTATCAAGATATTATAAAGCTGCACCACATCAGAGAATGTAAAGAAAATTGCTAATACGATAAGCATATTTCTGAAGAACGTCAAAAGCGCAAGGGCATATACTAGGCTGATTAAGCTAAAATACGGAATATCAATTGCTTATATCATTCATATTCTAAAAAGTGTTGGGACTTAATTCTGATTTGAATATATTTTTTAATTCATTACGATATAGAGGCGAAGGGAAATTTTTACAATTCTCGGCAAAATTACGAGTACTTCCCAAAAAGCACAAACTAGCTCCCAGCACCATTTAGGTAAGGGATGTAAACCTCGTTTAATGTGTATAAATTTTTATGGCCAAAACCAATTGGATGCCCTTGCACTAACGATATTTTCTACATCATTCAATTTAACATTTCTTTTACAATAATCATTATGTATATCAGTCCCGTGACACACAATAGATGCATGATACATAATTGGTACTAAGTATGACACAAACTCTTCATTAGTTACTATGTTACTTTGCCTACAATTTTGTAGTTACTATTTTTACAGTGACTATTAAATATAATACATATTAAAAAGGTATTTAGATCACATTTCCTATTGCCATTCTTAGCATATCTAAAGACCCTTGAACCACCAAATACGGGATCAGAGAAGTTAGCATATGCCTTCGACTGGTCACATCCGCTGTAAGCTCTACGTACTAATTAGATATACAAGGTACTCATAAGAACAATAATCATAAAAGCGGGGATCCGTGGAATTATGAATCAAGGAGTGTTAAGCAGAATTTGTTCAAAATCTTTTACGTGAAAAGAAGAAAACACTTGCTGTGGCCTTCAACTGGACATTCAGATATATCGACGACGTATGGTCAACTAAGAGTGGTTATTTCCATTCTTATGTCTACAGGATATATCCCGGTGAGCTTGAAATGAAAGATACCACAGAGTTTGACACATCTGTTTCATATTTGGATATTTTATTAGAAAAAGACGTTAATGGTAATCTTATAAAAAAGCTTTATGATAAACGTGATGACTTTAACTTTTCAATCGTCAACTTCCCTTACATATGCACCAATATACCCTTATAAACTGCGATAAGCCGGAGCATACTCTACCTATGAACAATTTCTAAAACGAGGTAAGTTATCGACAAAGAAGTTGATGAAACAAGACTATCTGCAGTCTCGTTTAAAGTCATCATGTCGTAAGTTCTATGGTCGATACAATGACCTTGTCAGCAAATACAATCTATCATTAAGTCAAATGCTGACTGACTTTTTTCATACGAATTTTATTTACATACTGAATTGTCGACGCATTTCCCCGTTATTTCCCACTAACTCCTCCATGACACCTGGTCCCACCTCTGATGTCTTAGAGGTCCGGCTTTGTTCTGCTCCTATTTTGTAATGTTTAATGAACTTTTGAGCTCGAATACTGTTTGTTTTCTCCACATATTTCATCGCTCATATCCGTCGTGAGTCCTTTTTATTGATTACAATGTCAGGGTAATCAGTATCAAATTAAGTACAGTGTATGAATATTGAATGAAATATGTATGAATTACATGGGATTTGTGCCGCAGCTTAATCTATTTTTAGAATACTCTTCTTAACATTATACAATGTACATCATTTATTCAAGATTAAATAGGATTCGCCTTTGTACCGTAGCTATGTGTTATATAACCTTTAGTAGCAAAGAACATGGCGTCATAAAATGAGGTCATGTATACTAGCTTTTATCATATCATGGGTACCAAGTGTGTTTTATAGCCTTCTCTGTAAAATTGTTATAGCTCTTTTGGTTTTCATCAATTTATTTGCATAAAAAGCCTTAACCTAGCCTTTACACACTTGCGCATGAAAACTGAAATAGAGCTGAAATAGAGCTTCTTAGACACTAAGAGAAAATTGATGAATTACGCGTACCAAGCTCACGGGACAAAATGACGCTCCTGCAGAAAAAGAAACAGGTTTTGTTTAATGCAGTCTATTATGAACCAAAATAAGAACGAGGACGGAAATTTCGGTGACATCACTATATCTAAACGTTTGAAGGCCAAATTAAGATTTTCCTTTTATCATGCAGAGGTTTTTGAATAAATTTTGCTTCAAAATCTACATAGTATTACATATTGTCAACGACGAACTCTAGCATCTTTAGTAGATCAACTTTATAGTAAGTAGTGTATGTAGAAACAAAATTATTTTCAACAAAGTAATGTTGTAGATCTATGAACAGTGACAAAATATGAATATTTATTTTTTTAATTTTATTTTCACAGTTATAAGGTTATTTTTATTGAAGAAACAACTGCCTCTAATGTCCAAAAGTCTGCTCCTTTGTTTATCGTGAGATGTTGTATAAAACGTAGAAAAGTCATACGTTTTGAGGTTATTGAATATTGAAAAGATATGTTATTAATAATATCCAATGATATGGACATGGACCTAACTTGTGAAACGCTTTATTTTTTTAATATAGAGTCAGTAATTCAATAATTCATAAAGACAGGATTGTCGATAAAATATTGTCATTCTTCGAACAAATTAAACCGAATGTTAGCAATAAGCACAAATCTAGAAAATACATTAAAGGATAAATATGATAATTATGTCTTTATTGACACAGCTGATGTCTGTTCTCTCTAGTTAAGCTTCCGGTTCTATTTTTTCCCTTAAAGCCAAAGTTCACCACCACATTTTAAAGTCGTGAATGTACATAATAAATGTGAATGATTAAATTCTCCATCATTGATTCGTGTGAAAAAGCTTTTATTGCTGCCAGGGGTACAATAATTGTTTTTTTTCTCTCTCTCTCTCTTTTTTGTTTCTTTTTTCAGAAAGAAAAATTAACACAACGTTTACTCCGAAAAATTATAAATCCCAAAAGAAGCATGCATTGTTTTTTTTTTTTTTTTTTTTTTTTTTTTTTTTTTTTTTTTTAAATTTTTATTTATTTATTTATTTATTTATTTATTTATTTATTTATTCATTTATTTATTTTTTGTTTTATTTTGTTTTGTTTTTGTTTGTTTGTTTTTTTTTAAGCGCTGTAGCAAAGAAATAATTCCTTTAAAAAAAAAAATAGACACAATAATGTGACTTTTACATGTAGTAGAGAGGAAAATCAAAACTATTTTATTTTTCATTTTACAAATTCATAGTTTATTATTCGTTTTACAACAAATAAATGCATTTTTAAATAATCGATCCTTTGAGTTGGGTATCTTCCTTTCTTATGTCTCTGATGAATATGTTTCTTTCTTTCTTTCTTTCTTTCTATTATTTATTTATTTGCATATCTAATTCATCATATTTATTGTGTTATCTATTTTGTGTTGTTTAGATATTGTGTTTTTTGATGCTTTAATGTTCTTTTTTTTTTTGGGGGGGGGGGGGGGTTAGTTTTAAGTGCATATGAGTTAAAATAATAATAATTAATATATTGGTGCTTAAGAACTGTTTCTGATTTAATTTTTTTTTATTAATTATCTTTATTAAATATTATTATTTTATTAATTTCAAAATTTATTATTTTATTATTCTTTCATCAGGATTTCTAATTTGGTCTACTAGTAATTTGGTAAATTATTAATAAACCTAAGTTAAATTTATTCAATAAAAAAAATCATCTATATTTATAACATAATACATTTAAATCACTGGCTTTTCTGATTTTCACAGTATTCCGAGCGCCACTGAAGAAAATAACAACATTGATTATACCTAGATATCAATACTTAAAAAGAACATTAAAGTATAACTTTTGTTTTATTTCCTTTGAATAAAACCAAGGCATACTGTTCTTTCGTAAGGTAATTAGTCCTTATAATTCAGCCACCAGAGTATGGTCTCCGTATATAACATCTACAGCTTGGCCCGTGTCTCGGACAGTAGAAGGAGCGTCTACAGGATCCAGTGAGGTACCCTCTGAGCCGGCAGTATCTGTAACACTCTCTATTGCTACATCTTCTCACATATCCGCCGTGACTAACTACAGGATCAACAATAACCAAAGAGAGAAGACACAACAGAAGAAGCAACACGGCTGTCCTCATCTAAAACGAGATATACCGAGATTTATTATTATTTTAGCTTAGACATGCATTTTTCATCTTGCACGTATTATCAGTGTTCATATATATATATATATATATATATATATATATATATATATATATATATATATATATATATATATATACACTGCATGAAAATTTGGCTTTACAAAACAAGTAAAGATAATGTAAATTTATTATTTACAATGCCTTTAATTGACTTTTCTGAAAAAAGTCAAAGTTGGAAAAGGTAACCTTTACATGCACTTAAATATGATGTAATGTCCCACATTGTCTTGACTTTACAAAAAAGTAAAGTTAATATTTACAAACATTAAACACAGTATTTGGGGTACATTAAATCTGATAATTACAAATATTAAATTTAATTAAATAACATCTTTAATAGCCACAAAAGTTAATTACTGTTTTCCATTCTTTTGAATAAAGCTTGTGCATATGATAAATAAGCTTTTCCTTCCAAATTGAAACTGCAAAAGAAGTCTGGACATCATACTTAATATACAAAGTAACAACAGATTGACTTAAACTTTGTTTATTACTATACCAAACATTTTTATACAAACATATAATCAAAAACATCAAATTTCTTGACAGTATCTGTTGTTCATAGTCTATCCTGCAAATCCCATACACATAAATAAGCATCCAGGACAGAGTTCATTTCACCAAAATCCTTTTCAAACATGTCATTTTGTTTTATAAAGAACCAATTGTTCATCCTTGAAGTTAAAGATTTGAATTGACATGAAACTGTGCTCCACTTTCTTTTTACTCGACATGCGTTTCTGTGGAAATCAACAACTGTCCAAATATATATTTTGTCACATATTCCTTTTCAAAGTCCAAAACTTTTATTCTCATGCAGGCAGTCTTCTATTGTTTTCCTTAAAAGAAAAAAAATATACATGTATATATTTTCAGTGACATGAATATGAATATTTTCATAGGCATCTGTGTTATAAATTCAAATAAACTGTGATATCAGTATTCACAGTATCATGACTAATGAAAATTGAAACAAGATGCAACCATATTAATACATGTAGATAAAAATTTCATACATGACCTTTAACCTCAAAAAGAAAATATTTTGAACCATTAATGTCAGCCTTTATTTTTACCAAAAAGACAATGTTAATCTTATTAAATAAGACAGATACAAACAGATGAACATGTTGCTATTAACTAATTTTATGATATAAATGGACTGGGCCACTAGCCCTTATCTTACCCCTTACATTAAAATTTAATAATTCTGTAATTTCTTTGTTTATCATTACCTAATTTTTCTTTTGAAAGGATTATTTACAAAATATACTAATGAAGGAGTAATATAAGATTTCTCGAGACCTTCTGTAGCTAAGATACTTTTGCAGAATTGGAAAATGTTTGTCTTACTTGCAAGATAATTTGTGAAAAAGTACTGGCATCAGTATCTATGGATAATTACTGAACACATATAATTAACTCCATTTTCCTTCTTAGTCATCAGGTAACAAAAAGACCAATAGTTGCTGCTTATAGAGCTATAGTATGATATTCAAGTTAGGGTTTAGGATATATGTACCTTTCTCCCAGTAGCATGTTGCTGCTCATGAATTATTTCCTGATCTTGGCATTGTAAAAGTTGACAGGTCCCTCATTTTGAAGATAACATGCTAAAATGGAATTTATACTTTGATAAACATTTCATACATCTGGATAAATATAGTCAATGTTTTCATAAATACTTTTGAGTTTGAAGCATACCAAAGAATGATTTTAAAAATACACAATGCAATCACAGTTAATAGTTATGAATTGCCGAACACCCTTATGTTTGTTTTCTTCACAATTAAAGAATACTTTAGCTCTAAGCAACACTTGCCATCTATAAAATTAAACTCTTGAACTCTTCTCAAGTGTTTCTTCTTCATGAAAGATATGTCAATAAGGTGTTAACTCTCTCACAGTAAGCTGAGTAGCTGGAGCATGGAAAAAGTAATAACACATTTTTTGAAAACAGAAATGTATAATTATACTGACTCCCGAAAAAGTCAAGCAATTGATAATGTAAATAATTGTTTACGTAACATTTTTATGATACTATTTATTGATTTTTTTTTAACTAATATGTACAAGTACCGTCAAAAAAACACTGGGATCCCTTGGTCTGGTAAATCATACATTGTTGTCATCCATGACTTTCTTCAAGAACCTGCATAATTGATTTCACTGTACCTGTTTTTGTAAAATGGACATGGTTTAGAATACAAAATAATATCAATAAAATATAACCTAACTTGTTCATTATTAAGAACATTGCCCCTACCCTGGCTTCTATATTTTTTTTTCTAGCAATAGTGTAAACAGCTAAACATTCTGAAACTGTGACCTAGAATTTGATTTTCTTGGTCTTGTTTAATCCATGATCATTTACAGAAAAAATTTAACATTATCCCCAATTTATCAAGTTACTTATCTAAAACACATATTTAGCGTAGTTTTTCCTGACTTTCATCAGTTTCAATGTTTCACAATGTATGCTGAAAACAGATGGAAAACGTAAACAAACCTGCAGTGCATGCCTGCCCGGGAGCTCGAGCAGTTTTCCAAGCAATAAATCTTCTGGTGATGAAAAGGTATCAATTCAACTGATCACTGGTTGCATATTTTCGTCAAAAATACCAGAAAATACCGATGAGACCCGCTCAACTAGATTTGAAATGATTGGTTATTCTTTCGAATACACAGTGCCATATTTGGGGTTACTGTCAAAAGTAGATCGTTCGTTTTGTATTCGAGAAGACTTGGATGAAGAGGATTACCCAATACTGAGGTGGAAAACGTCTGTATATATGATAAAATATATTTGAGTATTTTAAAGTAAAGGTTGTCAAATGAACGGGACATATTACTGATATTACCTCTTATAAACAAAACTAATAAGCGTATGACTTATTCAGGGCATTTGCAATGTATGGGAACCAGTGTACAAGGCAAAAAAAAATTCCGCCAAGAATAAACAAAGAGATTGCGGGATGTTGTTTACGTGTGTCACTCGACACTAACTGCAAGGTAATGAAAATGTGCTTATTTGTTGTTTATAACTGTTTTCTGTCTTTCAAGATATTGAACAACAGTCGTTTAACATTTAGACGAAACATCTAGGGGAGGGAGGGAAGAAGAGGTGTCACCTCTTAATTTGTTGCATCTACTATATAGTGGTGGTATCAGTGTCAATATATAATAAATTAAAATGGAAAAAATCATAATAAGAATTATGTTATAGATTTAGGACAGCTAAATAAAGGGGCGACTATTTTTTGTTTGAGGCGGGGGGGGGGGGGGATATATTAACCTCAAAAATGTTTAAAAGATATAATCTCATCTCAACTGAAAAAATGATTAATAAAATTTCCTTGTCTGATGCCATTATTCCCTTTACCTCACTGAAATAATAGTTTCTGAGTCAGTTTTTTTTTTCCTTTTGTAGTGGCGATGGGGGGTGGGGGGTGGGTCAAACTTTGTTCATTTAAGATAATCATGAATAATCTGTCCCTGATTATTAAGGAAATCAAATATTCTGTTCATCACTGACTGGAAAATATTTAATCTGACTTAGCTGTCAAAAAATTACCTTTTCATAATTTATCTAGTGTAGAAACAAAGAGTGGAGAGCTAATGCATGGTGCTAAGTATGGAAAGGTCTCTTGTGGTTTGGTTGTGCCAGAGACAAATGTACATTATTTCCATGTTGGGTAATGTCCTTAAGAACAGATTTTTTTTTTTCAAATACAAGGGACAATGAGGGACATGACTTTTTTTCATACATATTCACTGTACAGAGATCAAAATATTTTTAAACATTGTTAGATACTCACTACATTATTCCATTTTCAGAAAAGTATTTTAATTATTTTCTCACATTTTTTAAAGAGACCAGTATGGTGAAGAGATTTTTTTAAATTTTAATCTTGAATTTGGATATTATACAGGTCAGAAGTTTTGGTACACTTTGAGTGAGTGGCAGTTGGGAAGATGGATGACCTTCAGATAGTTTGAGATGAGGAAGTTTTTTTAAATGATTGAAAGTGATCATCATAGAATCAATTCCATTATGAAGATAAATTATTAGCAAGTCAGGTGAGGAATTGACTTCAATGTGTTATCACATTGTGTAAATGGATCTTCATTATTAAGATCTTTTACTTTTTATTTTTATATTTGAACTTGTTTTTCTATTGTTCTAAACTTCCAAAAATAAAATTAAAGTAGTTAAAGCATGCTACAAACATTTAAAGTATCTTGGCAAGTTTTCAAGGTTATTGCAGAAGTGCTTTAATTTCAAAAGATAAGTAATTAATGCAAACCTGGAAAAGAAATGGATGTTATTCTCTAATTTCGAAGATTATGTTTATTATTAGCACTCCTTTCGTCCAGCACCTGAGAGATCTGAGTACCCAGCCTACTGCTGGATTAATTGGTGACCAAGAAAAGATGACAGAGAGGGGAATCAAATATGGATGCCATAGTGATCAAGAATATATACACTGACTAGAAAATATCTGAAAATATATAGATGAACATTCAAGCATTTATAATAATGAAAGTTATTCAGCAAGAGAGTTTTTGCACAAGTTTAATTTTCAGTAAAATTGTGTATATTGTGCACTGAGGAACTTAGTATGTAACTCATTATGATTATCCATTTCTTTAGAGGATGTATTCGGAGTATATTTAAATAATCATTATCTTCTAGAAAAGAGCACACAAAACTTTTCTATCTGTGCGAAGCATGACATGTTTGTATACACTCCAGCATTTACCACAACCACAGTTACATATTTTCCAGGGCGTGTGAAGTCGAGCACATACATGAAAATGTGTGAAGCTGGACACATATGCAAACACACAAGCATCTATTGCAACCAATTACATATTTTCCAAGGCCTGTGAAGTCGAGCACATACATGGAAATGTGTGAAGCTGGACAC